TAATTCGTTAAGAAAAGTTAAACAGATGAAATTTAAAAATCAAACACGGCGTAAGTAAACAATTAAGTTTTAGGCGTCAGTCGTAAAATTACATGGAAACGTTGATAGCCAACCTTTAAATATGAGTGTCGTACACAATCAACATCTCATCTAACAATGTTGGCTAACTTGAAACTAAAAAAGACAAATAAGGAATGAAGCGCTTATCTCTTGTTTAATTAAAAACTAGGCACACAAAATCTACATATAGCCCGAGGGAGCAAATACATTTCTATTTCATATGGTTTGTATATAATCCGTGAACCGTGCCTCCTATATATCAATAGGGCCTATCGTGGACACCTGTCTCCATTTGCTTAGGCGGTGTTTGAGCAACATTTAACGAAAGTTTAGTCACACACAAATTATCAAATAATTTACACTCCCCGACATTTTTTGAGAGACGTCCTAAGCTTTTTACGGCGATGTAGAGTGTTGACACAATGTCCGCGTTTGTTTATGAGGACTAGGAAACCAGCTTTGGTCAATAAACACGGAATTTAAAAAATAAGTAATGTCAACTGTTAAATTCGTTTGATGATTACATGCTCTTTGAAATTACCTACTTATATGAGTCTGGTAATAATTATACAGATTTTCTAAATAAATAGTTGTTTCTGGAGAATTGACTGTCAAAATATGCATGAAATCAATCAGCAAAAGTTTTTCAAACGCAATACCTGCCAAAGTCCTAGCCTATACATTCCCTAACACTGTCTTTTCCTTTAAAGGAAGAGATTAATTCTAAGTTTTTAAAATAATTACACTTTCACTTGTATAAAATGGAGTTAAACCAGACATAAAAGTTTACTTTTTTTCATATATAAATTAACTAGCGACTCACTCTAGCTTCGCTTCGGATTCGTCCCTTGACCAAAACAAATGTATTCTACGAGAACCATACATTTTTCTGGGATGATATACATATAGCCTACAGCCTTCCTCAATAAATGGGCTATCTAAAGCAATTAGAATTTTTCAAATCGGTTTAGTAGTTTCTGAGATTAGCGCGTTCAAACAAACAAACAAATTAACTCTGCCTCTTTATAATAGTAGTAGGTATAGATAAAAAATCTATTTCAAAAGTTACCGATACAAATATATTATTTTTTGAGTTTACCTTTTATGTACCCACAGGTCGAAGCTATACGTATATCGGAACGTTCGAAAAGGCGTATCAGTATTGACCGATCGATCGGCCGTGATTGGTCAGCGGTCGGTGGGCGGGGCGCTTATCGGTGATAACGCTGACGTCACGGCATTGTGCTGATATCGCTTCATCGATTATATATTTGATTGGTTTGAGATAACTTGATAATAGAAGATACTAAGTACAATGTACATCCATATGTATGTAAGTTGGAAGGTGGGATATGGTGGCTGTAGCAAGAGCTTTGAAAATTTCCACTCCATTGTCCACTTATCGCTTGTTTCTGTAAATCGTTTCTCAAGAAATATCTTCATGGTTTTTGCCCTCGTCACCCTACGCTAGAATCGAACTTATAACCCTTAACCTAGTGAGATGATACTAATCTAATGCCTACTAATTTTAAGCTTCTCGATTTAATTCAATTCTATCCAGTTTAACTAATATTCGTGGAAAAATAAATAAATGGAAAATCAAGCAAATCCAAAAGAGAAACTTTGTCAATTAGCAATATAAGATTATCAAATATCGTAAATTATTCTAAAAGATTGATTTTATAAAGTTATCTGTTAATAAGTTTCAATGATTAATGAATTATCTGAACCAGAATTCACCCTTTAAGGGAATTTCAGACATACTTTCAAGGGGTGAATCCGATATTGATTTATATGTAACGAATTCAAAGTTCAAACGAAAATTATCTCGAGAACAAAGAAAATAGCTGCGATGTTTTGCATATGTATAGCAAAATATTTGTTTTACACAAAGTATCTCTTTTTGGGTAGAAACGATAATTATAATCATATCTTCATTCGAAATAAGTTTATAAATAAATTTTAAATTAAATATTTAATATTTCTGAAAAAAAAATGTTAATGAGTGCGAGTTGCTCAGTAAATATCGAGTTAAAAAAATTACGAATTTTTAGGTAATTATTACTTGGATACATTTAAAAAACTACTAAAAAGTAAATTTTATACGACCGAATTATAATTTCAACTATAATACCTTTAAATTTTTACATAAAATGTTAAATTTATTGCTTATAATATAAACATTGTAAGTTATCTAACAGGAATCAAACACGCGACCCTAATAAACCGATATTTACACTACAAAACCAAGACGTGTCGTCGGTAATTAATTCAAAAACTCCCCCAAAGTTGGTCTCGTAAAATATTCAGTGTGTTACAAGCCTTAACTGAAGGCTTTTGGTCGAAGACAAAGATGCTTTTAAGCTTCCGTATGTAACAGTTAAAATGATAGAGTCGCTTATAATAAAAATGTTAGTTTACCTATAACTTAATGTAATCTTTTTTGTTATTTGATCTTTGGTCCTTCACCTCAATTTTTATATCCCAACAAGATTGTAAACGAATTGTAAATAAAGTGATAAACAAAACTAGAGAAGGCATATTGCTTTTTTCATAGGTATGCATATATAATATTCTCACAATGATATATTAAATATGTTATGGTATATTAGTACTATAATCTTATTTAAAATTATAATTCATAATTTAAACCATAATAAAACATTGCTTATATTTCAAAAAATAAATTAAGTCGGCTCTACACTTCCCATGCCTCTATGAAAGCTATTAAACTAAGGCAACATGGCGGCCACTCTCGTAAAATATAACCGTGTCGCCAACTCATCCTGACACACTTCCTGAAAACTGCTTACCCGATATTAAAAGTTTTAAAGATTCACGAATTAGTAGATAATAACTTGTAATATCGTTTCATACTGAGCACTTATATTTTCATGCGGTAATATAATGATGATGGGTTTTAGCATTTTCATCCTAAAATTGCCGGGTGAATTAAATGTCATTAAAATGTAACCTAGGCAGTGGTAGCCCAGTGGTAACACACTCGCTTGGGGAACCGAGTGAAGCGGGTTCAAATCGGTCTGGCACCTCTGATATTCCCATGCGCCAATCATTTCCAACATGATTAGGTACCTACCACTTGTCTACGGTGAAGGAAAACATCGTGAGGAAACCTGCATGTCTGAGAGAAACTAGTAAGTTTTCGAAAGACATGTGAATTCCGCTAACACGCACTTGACCAGCGTGGTGGACTATGGCCTGATCCTCTTCGTATTGAGGGAAGGCCTACTCCCAGCAGTGGGTAATCAAAGAGGGCTGAACACAAAATGTTACCTGTTTGTGATTCCTTTCAATACGAATTCAAACGAAAAAGTATAAATAATAAAAGGCAATGATGTTTAAATATCAATAGATTTAGATATAGAGGAGAATATAAATGATAATACAAGTTCTGGGTCGTTAAACTTCATACGGAATTCCAAATAAAACAACTAGTTCCATCTTTACCAAACTACAATGCGTACTTAAAGTCCTAAAATTGGCACAACCCACTCACAGGAGCTAAGCTAATCGATCTAACTACACTTGCAAGAAAACAACTACACTTAACTATGAATTGAACAATTAGCTTCCATTCGAACCACCGGGGACCGTTTTGTATTAACAATAAAGTAACACGGCTAAATTCGATCCGCACGCCCCACGTGCATACTCGATGAATTCACCTACTCCTAAATTTCGCCGAGTGTCCCGATCAAAGGCTTAATTGGTGATATATTAAATTGTAATTAAGGTACAACCCTATTGTTAGGTGTGAAAATCTGGAGCTCGAGGCGGTCGACGCGTTGCCAGATTTGTCGCGAGACTCGTCTATGCTATTATAATGAAACTATGAACGGTTATCGACTTTAAACTCTGCGTACGTTTTCTTGTGTTCGTTAAATAATAATGGTATTTTTTTATATAGTAACACGAGTTTAAAGCAACGTCAGCATAATAAGACGATATATAATAATAAATAAGACGATACATTACAGTAGTAATTAATATACGAGTATCAATGATAATTGGATAATCATCCAACATATTAAATGCGTCAAACACTCAAATGATTTTGATTTTTTTTTCTTAACTAGCGACTCACCCACGCTTCGTTTGGGTTTGTTCTTTGGTACGTTTTAATAGTTAGTATGGAATAGATAGCCGATCCCTTGTGAAAAACAAAAAAAATTCTATCGCACGAGAACCATACATTTTTCCGGGATAAAAAGTTACTTATGTGTTATTCCAGACTACAATCTAACTCTGTTAAATTTCATCCAGATCCAGAATAACAAACATCCATCCAAACTTTCGCATTTATATTTATGGGCTACATTCATATCTCATTATAAGAGCAAATACCTAAAACACAACAATTAAAATATTAACAATCAGTACATCATAACGTCACATCACTTTAAATATATTACGAAATATAATACTACTAATTAAAAATAATTCGCCCATATAAAATGTAATCTATACGACGTTATCTACAGGCATTGAAGATATAAGAATCGCAGATAAGATAATTAGGATGAGGTCATTCTGGTACCTTAATAAATTGGGAAGGGGCATTGATTAAAACCATTCCAGGTGAATTAATTAAGTATTTTAATTAATAGGATATGCCGGTGTCCTTATTGGCAATATTCCTTTCATAAATTTATTGAGACGCAGCCCTTTGAAGTCCCTATTAGTAGATAAGGACGCCCTGATAATGTAAATTCAACATCGTCGTTTTATGTCAGAATATCGGATAAATATGGATTTGGGAGTTATAAAGGTGGATTTTAATATATAATCTTTTAAGTAATAAAAACATGTAACATCGAAACATTTTTGGCGTCACGATTTCTTTTCAACTAGTTAATTTTGTGTCTGGGATATCTGATGAATGTGAACCGTGTGTAACGTATCCTTGTTTGTTGTTACAGCATGCTCCGTTTCTCGGAGCTGGGCCCTATCGAGAGGCCTCACTCACATTCACAACCAAAAGACATATTCGGATCACAGAATCAGTAAGATACTTGTAATTAAATATTAAGACAAAAACTATAACGTATATACGCCTTGTTATTTCCAAATAGAATGTATTGGAAACGATAGGCTTACATGAACGACTCATTGAGAGTCAACCTTTAAAATGCCACATCTTTATAACTTTTTTTCTTTGTTACAGTTTGCTCCGCTCTATGGATTTGGGACCAAATGAGCGAGTAGATCGCAAAGAGAGTATAAGAACTCCGCCAGCGCCCACACATCGAGATAACTCCTCTGAACGAGAACGCAGTACTGAGAGGAGAGACCCTGGTAGGTACCACTTAACCCAGTCTAATAACAAATCGTATAACAATTTTAGTGAATCCGACTCGAGCTTATTTCAGACAGATATCAATAAATAAGCTCTAGTCGGAATTCTCGCGAACTCGTTCGTAGTCCGTGTCCGTTAAGGGTCCGCGTCATCCAAGTTCCCAAGCGGCTCACGGACGCGCGTAACCGTCGGTCAAGTTGTATTGAGACACGTTCTTACGTTGCTTACGGGCGTACGTGAACCCACCCCCCGGGCCCCTCCCTCCTCGTGTTCCGTAACAGTACTCTCATCGCAGGTGGCGACGAGTGGCCGAGCACACCACCCCTCAACAACAACACGACGCACCACAACAACAACGGTCCGGTCCCGTTGCCGCTGCCGCCGCCGAGCCCCTTCCGTTTCGAGGAGCACCGGCCCTATCGGTTTGCTGAGGATATGGGCCCTCTCCCTCCCGGCGCACTAGTCGGCCGCCTCGGGGACTCCCTCATTCCCAAAGGCGACCCCATGGAAGCCCGCCTGCAAGAAATGCTCAGATATAACATGGACAAATATGCGAATTCCAACCTGGACACGTTGCATATAAGCCGACGGGTGCGAGAATTACTATCGGTGCACAACATTGGCCAGAGACTGTTCGCGAAATACGTCCTGGGTCTCTCCCAGGGAACAGTATCGGAACTGCTCTCGAAACCGAAACCCTGGGACAAATTAACTGAAAAAGGTCGAGATTCGTATAGAAAAATGCACGCGTGGGCTTGTGACGAGGCCGCCATTATGCTCCTGAAGTCACTAATCCCTAAAAAAGGTATCTATTAATGCATTTTACACCCGAGCTAACACCAATAATTACAATTAACGATGCCTCAGCCACTTCCGCTTGCCATATTCCTCAAACATGACTGATTATGTCACAAAAAAGCTTCATGGTGCGTAATAAAATTAAATTACAATTGTTTTGCGCTATTAATCAGAGAATCGCGAGTGTTATTGGTGGTAGCTCAATCCGCATGTTTTGATAGCGGAACGTTCCGTTCCATCAATTTCTCCCCTCAAGTCAATCTTCCGAACGGTTCGCCAGTACCCGTTATCAGCTTGTCAAATAGCCCATCAATCATAGACGATTCAACGTGATCCGGAACGATTATAACCGCCAACGCCGAAACAAACATATTTTTGCTCTGAACTTTGGTACTTTAGAAGTATGCTTGCGCTTTAGGAACTAATTTGGACAATCATTTCAGTTTAATGAAATAATTGTTCAAGTTAAAGTCAATCGATAACTAACCGCTCACTTAACCACTAGTTTTCGATAAGTTGCCATCCCGATGTAAGATTTTAAGTTACAAAAAAAGATTTAAGGAGTTTAATATGTTTACGCCCGTTTTTGTTCAACTTAAGCGGCTATAAACAACTCTGGTCATAAAAGGTAGCCTTGAATCCTCTTTCAATCGTGTGATGGCAGCTCTTATTTCCGCACTTTTTTTGTTTAACATGATATTTTTTTGTTCCTTCCCTCGAATCCTTTTCCTACCCCGTGCGGAAACTAGCAGAGGCCACGTGTCCCCTCCCTTATTACAAAAAGGGGGGTGGGTGGTAAGGGGACATGGTCAAGCTCCCGTACCGCGACTTCGATTTATAGTTTTAATACGTGTCGCTTTTGTTAATGCCGTCCACCATTTTGTTTTAGTTTATAAAACGGTTTTATTCAAATTTTATTTTTCGTTCTACAGTATTTCTGAAACAGAGCAATTTTCGTCTGTCCAAAGTAAAGGCCCGGTATTACAATGCGTCGCAACGAATGCATGGACGGACGGACAAAGTGTGGACAATGGGAAGGAACCACACCTTGCGTCGCACAAATGTTGCCATTACGTGTCGTTCTAAACTTTCAAACTTTTGAATTTCGCTGTGTTTCCTAGTTTTTTTCTCTCTATATAACAAATGATTTTAAATGTCTAAGCTATTCAGTTTTTGAGCGAAAGTAAAATTTTAGGCAAAAACATACCACGTATAACAATATACGTCTATTGCAATAATTAACAGCTCCATAAAATAAAGCCTTAGCAATATGAGTAATTATAGTTAGAGAGCACCTGCGCGAAAAAATAAATATACAGACAAAAATTTGGGGAACTTTAAACGACCTTCCTTTGTGCATTACTAACTATGTATCGCAGAAACAATGGCATGCATTAGTCTTTGTATCAAATAGGTACATGGATAGTGGATAATTGTACTCTTTTCGAATAATCCATTGTTCGGGAAAATTAGCAGGTTAATAAACGAAATTCGTACTTTGTCATTTTCGTCAAAGAGAATAACTATAATGTAATTTTACCGTCTGTACGTATGTATAGCATTAATTAATTTGTAGCGAAGTAAAATTGGGTGAAAGGGACTTTAACTAGTTCTTAGATTAATCGCGTTAGTAGGTACAATGTATTATATACTATTTAAGAAATAACAAATTTTATTAAGTTTCGCCTTAGACCTGTCAAATAAAATGATTAATTTTTCCCCATTCACATCCATTATTGTTTAGAATTACAATAATGTGTCATTACCGATGCATCGAACGTGAGTGCTTTCTCGATGACCGGAGACCGGAAACGGTATGGCGTGGGAGTAAAGTATTCAAGTTTCTTCCTTAAAAGACGTATTGTTCTATCAGTTTTACTCGTTTCTTCGCACTTTCCCTTCAATATTATTAAAAAAAGATGCCATATGTGTATATCTGTCTGTCTTCTGACTTTTTAAAATAAATCGAATTTATTGAACATATAACAATAAGTAATTTATTTAAATCAATATTTTTTAAATGAATTTATTTTTATTCACCTTATTTCAAATGTAGGTTCATAGCAAATCCCACGAGCTAAATACGTACGTTAAATATAAACCTATCCCACTGGAAACGTACATTTTTCCGGAATAAAAAGAAAGTAACCTATGTGCTATTCCAGGCTATAATCTATCTCTGTGCCAAATTTCCTCCAGATCCATTCTGCCATTCTCTTTGTTTTCACATTTACAATATTATGGATGTTCCATGTTAAGTAATCGAACCCACAAATTTATAATAAAGTTAAGAATAACCATTTCTATTCTAAGGATGATTATTTAAAAGAGGCAACGTCATAGTATACGGTATAGTCAATAAAATCAATTCACGCAGCAGTTAGCTCGTTACTCCTCACAACACACTATTAAGGGAACATGTCATTTTCCGGCATTTTCACGCGGCTCCCACGCTGGCATTATACTTGCGCTCCCACGCTTATGCTGTACGCAACGCGAAACTTTCAGTTACTGAAATCTATGATCGCTATCGCTGTAGTACATTTTTACTATCGTCAGTATGTTACAATTTTTATCGGACTACCATTAAAATGTGAAAGTTTGTAAATGTATGTTTCGTGTAACTGCTGAACCGATTTGGATGAAGTTTAATGCACATATGATTGGGAGTAACACATCGGTGTTTATGTCGCTAATATAATTGTATTGTATTCAGCTCTTTTTGACGTCCCACTGCTGGGCACGGGCCTCCCTTCAAAGCGAGGGGAATCAGGCCATAGTTCATCACGCTGGCCAAGTGCGGGTTGGCGGACTATACATGTCTTTCGAAAACTTGTTAGGTTATCTCAGACATATAGGTTTCCTCACGATATTTTCCCTTCACCGTAATACAAGTGGTTATAATGTTGAAAATGATTCGCACATGAAAATATCAGAGGTGCGAGTCCCGGCATCATCTGTCGGATAAAAAAATAATGCAAACTATGTTAGTCAACTACCAATTTCTAAAGAAGAGATATAGATAAAATCGGGTGTATTTAAAGTTTTTTGTTGTATGTGAAGCGTTAAACGTGAAAACGATTTTTGTGTTTTTGTTTCAAAATTTTTATAACCCAAGAGTTGGCCCAAAAACATAAACCTTCATACATTTACTTAAAATAATAATTACTAACCGAAACTTCAACACGCTAATATGGCAATTGATTCATGCAATTGTTTATGGCAACTTTTTCACACATGTTATTTCATTAAATTGTCTATATAAATAACTATTCACGCATGTAATGAAAAAACACGTAATATACTCAAAAACATATGCTTTATTATCAATTCATGATACAGCGTTACGTACCATCACCCATCACTATATAGTATATAAATTTTTCCCCATACAATACAATACGATAGATTTATTGACAACAAAAACAATCAATGGGAAACTTATTCAATCGAAGAATCATTCCTATTGGTTTCTAAAACAGAAAAACCTGTACAAATTACAATATCAACCAACGCGTACGAAGCGTCGTAATGACATCACATATCTATTGATGCGTGAACACTATTTATTATTGAAGAACAGGGGATATTTGCATAAGCATATAATATGTACATACATAATCGTATCAATATCATTAATATGCGAACGCCCACTGTGCAATCGCGGAAAAACCATGTGCTCTAAGGAAATTAGCATTATATAAATACTTATATTAATTGCATTTATGCAAAATATAATGCTTGTGTGAACCGTACTTAATATATTTTCACAATTCATATATGTATACACTTATATATTTAAAAAAAACTCCCTAAAAAGCTCTTCAAGCATGAACTATCATGCGGAACAACACACCATGTCTATAACTTAAAAATGAATTTTTGTTTTTCCACTCTATATTTAATTCGATCAAGTAAACAACTTACGATAATACATATATAATTCGACCCGTCCGTCCGTCTTCGTGTGCTTTAAACGGTCTCGCATCAAAATATGTACCTTATGACATTTATAAAAAGCTTTCGCGTGCGAATGTGACCGAATAATACACCTAGTGAAATGCACAACATCAACTTGTGTTCTAATTAATGTACGGTTCTCGCACGGCCCGGTCTGATGGCAGTGGTATTTACTAGATATTATATTTTAAACCGATATATAACGTGACTGCGTTCAATTTCCGATTCCAGCGAATAAAGCGGTTACCTATCAACGTTTATCACTCGATGGATGCGAGTTAACAATATTGACTTTTTACATTGTACTAAAGTGTTTTATTATTCATTTAATCCCTCGGTCCAATTAAGAATAGTTATTGCTGGTATAATTGTTGTTCTTACCACAGCTCGCACGATAGATTCTTCTGACATATTTATCTATACTTTTTTACACCATTAAGTGTAAAATTGACCATAGTGCACGTAACAAACGTCAGTCCGACACGCCTGTTCCCCGTCATTGATTAATTGCTAATTTAAGAAGACAGTTGTAAATAGGTGTAGGATAACAAGGTTTTAGCCGTTTTTCCATGATAGAGGGTATTTTGTTCTTAAAGTTCATTGAAACGTTTACGAGCGTGTGAGTTTGTGCAATATTTGGATGAAGTTGGTCTTCAGAGGGGCTCAAGCGTAGCGTGAAAATCTATTTTCAATGCCACTATCGGCGGGCACAGACTAGCCAAAGGCTTTTCAACTCAAGCGATGCCAAACTCCCTGCACTTAGTTCTGTTAAGCAAATTTTAATATTCAATTGGGCTTTTGTCCGTTTTCAAATTGCCAGAAGATTGCGTGTAATGAAACGACGGGTTTTAGACTAGATTATCTATGAATTTTCTATCTATTTAGGTGCAAGTTTAGTTTAACTTTCGTTGTTAAAGCGTAGTCCAAGCTATTTTACAAAATACGTGGACGTGTCTTTTAAACAATTGAAATAATAAATTTTAAGTAATTATACTTAGGACGGTTTGAGTTTATGTTTTAATATAAAGAATATTAGCATTAAGAATG